GCGATGTTAAATGCGTTACTTCCTTTTTTTCTGATAGGTATGTATATATAAATATGTACATACTCAAAGTAATATACACCTACAACGAACAGTAGGAACTACGAGCAGTGTCACTAGAAGTCTCTTTGATGTATAAGAGATATATGAGCGTGTGTGAAACGTTACAACACTTCATAAAAATGAGTGCATTTTATATTGATCGCTAGTCATGATTTATTCGCGATTTACTTTTTTTTAGTTTTTGTTTTTTTTTATTTTTTTTTTTTTGTATCGTAGCTATGATCACTTGATAAATTATTATATTCATTATATTCTATGGATATTAGTACGTATATTTATATTAGTAGTATCATATATATGTATTATTATAATGTTAAAATGTATTGGCTTAGTTAGAATTATTTATTATTATCAACAAATTTTTTTCTAAAGAAATCTATAAGTTCATTATATTTCTTTCTTCTTTTTTTCATTATTATTATTATATTATTATAATGCTATAATATTATTGGTTTAATAATAACAACTATTTATTATTACCGAGAACAAATTTTTTCGAAAACTTTTTTACACAAAGAAAATTTTTTTTTATTTCTTGAACAATCAAGCCGTGTATCGCAAATTCCAGGGTCGCAATGTTCATTGAACGATATTATTGGTTCTCTCGAATTCAACCTTAGACACGTAAAACCCGGAATAATAGAAGAAATTGGAAAAGGGCTTACACACACGTCTCACCACGCCCTCTTTCCTTCATTTCTTCTTGTATTTTTCCTTTTCTTTTCTTAACGTAGGTCACGACGTTCCCATGGAATACGAAAACGTCTTTACAGATTAAATAGCCTTCACGGTTGTCGTCTCTCTCTTTCCATCTTTCTCATATACACGCACACATACACACACTTTTTCTGTGAATCTTGAAATCGTCGAACCTTTTTCTAATTTTTTACCTTTTATTTCTCTCTCTCACTCCCTCTCTCTCTCTTTCTATTTTTCTCTTTCATTTATAATTTCTCAAACATAATATCTCTAACAAAAATAACGTAACTTTAATGGGATCTCCACTTATGAAAGTTTTCTATAGGAAAGACAACGAACTATTTGCGATTGAAGCATTAGCAGCAACACAGAGAGATGTAACAGGTTCGTATCTCATTAAAGCTCTATATTATTATTTGTTAGGAACAATAAGTCGGTCGGTAACGGCGAGAATAATTGCATTTTGCTTTGCAACAGTGACTAAAGTTTTCTTTTTGTTCCTTGTTGGTCTTAATATGAGCACGTATCCCTTTGGGAAGGATATACTGTGAATTCTAGAATGTTAGCAATGTCATGAAGAGGAAACGAGACCGTGCTCGTGCATACACCCATATACAGATACATCCACATATATACGTACAAGGATAGAAAGAGCAAGAGAGAGAGAGAGACAGAGAGAGAGAGAGAGAGAGAGAGAAAGAGAGAGAGAGAGAGAGAGAGAGAGAGAGAGATACGGAACAACAACTTCCGGCAATCGATTTTTGCATTCATAGTCAACTCCCTCAAGTTCCTTTATGCCACGCCTTACTCTTTGATATTCGGTTAGATTATTTATTTATTTGATAAGAAATCAGTGATTGAGAAATTGTTCTTCGATATGTTTGTTAATTGTAATTTCTAAGAGTTATTATTTTTTGATATAATCGATGAATAGATTAATCTTGTGTAATTTTCAAATTACACACTTATATAAATGTTTTTTCTTTTATTTTTTTTTATTTTTTTTTTTTTTTTTTATTTTTAAATTCATTTCATTTTATCGTCATAAATTTAATATTTATTTAGTATCCAAAGTTTTTCATGTTTTTACAATTTGAATTTTATTAATATTAAGTATTAAAACTTACTTATCATATATATTTAATATAAAATTTTATACATTAAAATTAATATAATATTCACAATATAAAAAAGACATGAATATAAATTGAGTTATAGATCGTAGAGAAGATCATTTTGTGTTTTTTGTGTTTTAATCTTTAGATCAATGTATATAATAAATGACATTGTGCATCAAAGTTCTTATCTTAATGTAATGATAATTATTATCTGCTTTTCTACAATAATATTTTAAACTAATTGATATGTCTAATCAAGCACGAATATGCGAATGTTTTTTTCATGTATGTAAATCATTAAAAATTAATGTTATCGGTAAAAAATATTTCGTGATTAAGAAAAAGATTGTTATAACGTATATTTATACATTTGTACGTTACAAATCATAAAATGTAGATGTAAAAAG